CACATCTCCACAACCACACTCAACCATGGATTCAGGCACCACTCACATTTACGCACACATCACATCTCGACAACCACACTTAACCATGGATTCAGCCACCACTCACACATACGCACACATCACATCTCTACAATCAGACTCAACCATGGATTCAGCCACCACTCACACGTACGCACACATCACATCTCTATAACCACACTCAACCATGGATTTAGGCACCACTCACACGTACGCACACATCACATCTCTACAACCACACTCAACCATGGAGTCAGCCACCACTCACACGTACGCACACATCACATCTCTACAACCACACTCAACCATGGAGTCAGCCACCACTCACACGTACACACTAATCATATCTCTACAACCACACTCAACCATGGATTCAGGCACCACTCACACGTACGCACACATCACATCTCTACAACCACACTCAACCATGGAGTCAGCCACCACTCACATTTACGCACACATCACATCTCGACAACCACACTCAACCATGGATTCAGGCACCACTCACACGTACGCACACATCACATCTCTACAACTACACTCAACCATCGCTGAACCATGGATTCAGCCACCACTCACACGTACGCACATATCACATCTCTACAACCACACTCAACCATGGATTCATCCACCACTCACACGTACACACTAATCATATCTCTACAACCACACTCAACCATGGATTCAGGCACCACTCACACGTACGCACACATCACATCTCTACAACCACACTCAACCATGGATTTAGGCAGCACTCACATGTACGTATACACTTCACATCTCTACAACCACACTCAACCATGGATTCAGCCACCACTCACACGTACGCACACATCACATCTCTACAACCACACACAACCATGGAGTCAGGCACCACTCACACATACGCACACATCACATCTCTACAACCACACTCAACCATGGAGTCAGCCACCACTCACATGTAAGCACACATCACATCTCTACAACCACACTTAACCATGGAGTCAGCCACCACTCACATTTACGCACACTTCACATCTCTACAACCACACTTAACCATGGATTTAAAGGTGCTGCAAATTTAAACAATTTTGTAAGAATGACGATAAAAAAAATTTCGGGTTGTGTCCTCTTGAAAGAAACCGGACGTTGATAGTTTAGTGTTATAAGTTTTTCCACGCGATGTGCACATGAGAGTTCGACGCAAAGGTGAGATTCTGTGCCAACCATTGTTCTTGTCCTCATTTCTCTGCACCAACCACGCATCCAGGCACCACTCTTGCATCCGCACATGTTAGAGCGTTTGGGGTAATTTATAATAAATAAGTTCCTGTCACGAAATGCTCCCAGTTCCACTCGTCCGTGCAAAATTTCTTTCCTAAATCGTGTCAGTCATATAGGAATGTCGATCTAAAGGGTTTGTGCCAACGAAGTATCACGAATAATGGCGCATGTATTGAGAGTTGCAAAACTGTAATAGAATTGTATTTAGATTACACGAAATATTACATACATAACATTTGTGCCAGGCATGGGGGAAATTAAGTTTACTTGGCCGCACAAAAACGTTCTCAGGAGAATCATTAAGACACCCGATACTATTATCATGAAAGGTGGTAATACATTAATCACCCGTTTTGCAATGCAAATAGCTACAGCTTACACAGAGGCGGCAACATTTTTCAGGGCGGTGGGGGGGGGGGGGTCTGCTCACCAACCACGCGACCTTTCTAGGGCGTCCGGAGGTATGCTCCCCCTTAACAATTTTGAATCTCTAGAAACTCTATTTCCTGCATTTTGAGAGGGGAAAATTTTGCTGATGCAATGGGTCCCCGTGCCGCCACTACAGCTTACATTTTATTGTTTAACATCATAGCTTCTGTATATTTACTGTATTGTATTTCATTAGCAGTTGGGTCAGCCTGATTGAAATCTGATGTATCGTACGGCGTTTATTTGTTATCAATTTATATATTTTACCAATGCTATATATTTTTTATTATTTTAACTATCGCCATAAACAGACTCTTGTGAGCTTTCGTGATCAGCCAACCTGCAAATAAATAAATATATACATGTATTAAACACATTGAAATACAACATAAAGCCCAAACTAGGAATGAAAGTTTTTCTAGTGTAACTAGAGAATAATCATTGTTAAGTTCCGACAGCAGTGGGAAATCATTAATCACTAAATTCACAGCAAATAGGGTGTGATCAACGCCCGATTCACTACACCATGACCCGCTAGCAAATGGGGTGTGATCAACGCCCGATTCACAACACCGTGACCCCCTAATATATGCATAGCTGTCCATGGGAAGTAATAAACGACAATATGCATATATACCTGTTTATCATATTACAAAAGCGTATCACATGTTTTAGAAATAAGGAGCTTTTTCATTGCCAAGATTTGTGTAATGTCCAATTACAGCATAACAGGTAGGGTTCAGTTCATCTAAAATAGCCATACAAATTGCTGATTTCTCCTAAGTCACGGTTCTCATGTTCAGGACACTGATACATTAAATATAACACACCTTCTACCATCCACTGTAATCTATAACGCCACACACCAATCATAAATAAAACTATAAGCTTAATATACGTTTTCAAGCTGATTACACCAAAATAGCCGGTATTTATATCGTCTAGTTTTGTCATAAACCCCCCCCCCACCTTCCAGTGAAATCATGGTACTAGTATATCATTATCTTGAAAAAAAACATACAAGTAGTAAACCTTTCTTGGATTTTGAAATTCCCCACAACTGTAACTTACTGACTTGAATTTATGTTTTGATTGTAATGTCAAATTAAATATCTTTAGAACAGTGTATACTTTCTTCCGAACCGATGGCCACAGCATCCGATAAGTTCATGGAAACTTTCTTAGTTCAATCCACCATAATCTAACGTACGCCCTCTCAGGCTAAAGACCATCTTTCAAAATCAACCAGCCAATTTTCAAAAACGCAGACTGGTCATAATACTCAGAATACATGTGGAAAGAAGCGCACGTGTCATTTTTTTACCTGACCCACTGTAATAGACAGGCTGATCACGAGACGTGATGCAAGGTATGATTTGAATCGACAGTCAGTGACCCGGGGGTCAAACCGAGTGGCACATAAGTTTGCTGTGCACAGGAAAGGTCAATCCTGTCAATATTGTTGGCCACATAGCAGCAGTTGTGTACACTTATTTGAATAATGAAAAAAAAAATTGAAATAAAAAAAAAATTAGTATAGTTATAATCCCATATATTATGCCATATGGTCGCCGCCATCTTGGCAATTTTCAAGCGCCCTCTATTGGGTCAGGCGAGAATGCGAGCGGAATTCGTTT